GCGAAAGACTGGAAAGAAGCCAGCTAGTCATCTCCATCCACCGCCAACTCTTGGGCTACTCTTTCACCAACGAATAGTGGGATTGACCGTCACATTATAACGCCCCCACGGCTGAAAGGACGAGCATGTTTGGTGGGATTCCTTGTGTTGTTTTGCCTGAATATTCGAGATAAATCAAACCATGAATCAACTCAAACAGCTCAACAAGAAACATTTCTCAAATACGTTCGAAATTGCGATTCTAGCTGCGAGAAGATGAAGAATGGAAAGTCTAATGAAAAACCAATTACGTTGTAAATGCGTACGTAATATAAAAACAAAAAAATTTCAGAAATAAACATTTGATAGCGTTATGGTATAAAAACGGTTATAAACCAACGATACTTAAATAAGCTCATTGAATAGATCAGGGGCATCGAGCTAGCTAATAGGATTGTGGATTGTAGTGTTGAAAAAAGAAAAGAAAATTATTTAACTATTACAATCAAGCGATGATCAAATATTAATACTTATAGGACACTTTTCTGAATTATTATTTTTTAGTTCTTACTTATTTTATGCTTGTTTGTTTGTTTTAAGTTAAGCACAAAGCTACACAATGGGCTATTATAATGCATTGTTGATTCAAGTTATCGTTCAGTCAAATCCTAAAATATTTTTATTTTAAAATCATTTTCGAAAATTCTAAACATAATCCTAATTTCACCTCAATATTTTTACATTTCCATCCACAAACGTGATATATATATACAAAGATTGCAATGTTATTCATATTTTTCCTTCTTAAAAGAGTGGATCAACACTGGGGTTATAACGATCTCCAAGGTAGACAGATCACAGATAGCCCATTATGTAGTTTTGCGCTAAAAAACACAAAGTTAAAATACTACCAAAGTTGTTGTTTTTTCATACATACAAACTGTCCCCCTGTAGGAGAGCGATAAGTCTATGGACTTACAATGCTGAAATTCGAGGTTCGATCCCTACAGTCGACACAGCAGATAACTCAGTGTGACTTAAAAGAAGCAAACAAATCTTATAAACTATTCGCAAAGTGTCGTTAGGGTAAAAATACTGTTGTTGTTTTTTAGCTCTATTAAACGAAAAGGTCCTTTTTTTTTCGTCTAGAAATAATGGATAACATTGTTGTGCATTTTGGCATTCTAATGTAGCGGCCCCCCAGTGACACAGCGGTATGTCTGTGGTCTTACAACGCTAGAATCCGGGTTTTGATACCCGTGGTGGGCAGAGCACAAATAGCCCATTGTGTATCTTTGTGCTTAATTACAAATAAACAATAAACTAATGTAGCATGCTTGTTTTATTTTCTGCAAATAATGGATTAGTTAAACGTTTATAAGATAAGATATCTAAGAATGCTTCAGTGGTTTTGCTAAATCTTGAAACTTTCAAGAGTAAATTCTTGATATCAAACACAATCTATCTAAAGGAACTCTAACAGCAAGAAACAATTTTGATTATGTTAGTAAAATAATTCAGTTTCGTGCAGAAAAGTTTAGTTGAAAATAACTACAGAAGTACTAGTGCACATCGCTTGATTTTAATTTATATCTAACAGTCAAACGTGTTTCAATTAAATTAATAAAACAATTTAATTTCGTGACATCATGGAACAAATCATCAACAGATGTTTGGTTACTAATTATAAAATATTTCTATAGTGTTTGTTTAAACAACTGTAATTAAACGCTCCGATACTAAGATACTTTCTTATTCTTTTTATATATAAATCCCTTTAAAAGTGAAAGCAACTTTTAAGCAGCTTAAAAAAAACGCTGTTTATAAGACAAATTTGAATAAAACCAAACTTAAAGTTGGTCTTTTAGTTAAGTGAAAATTAATTTAACTTAAATATTTGCCTTACTTATTTCATAACTATTTCAGTTGCGTAGGAATTGAATAAATTTAAAACAATGTTCTAGTTAACTCTTTCAACAAAATTGCTTTAAATTTGAAGAATTGTACTTGATTAGAGTTAACTCGCCAATGAAGCATCCAGTTTGGAATTTAGTAATTAGAATATGAAACGGTTAGTCACTTAATGGAGGCAATATTCGTTTCGTATGAACAGAATTGATGGCTGTTATACTGAAGTGCAAGTCATGAAAATATATCTTCGTTTTTAGCTAACTATCTACTTATAGTAAGTTCTTTTTCTTTTTGACGGTAAACAAGAGCAATCAGAGAAATTGCATACCCTCGACCCGCCGCTCCCTTTTCGAAATTGAATGCAGTTATATTGGATAACGTCAAAAATTTTCATCTTCGAAAACTCAGAGAATCCTTCTCAGATCTAGAATGATCCGAATCATTTTTTGTAGTGTAAGGAAAAGTCTCAATCTAATCATACCCATGAAATTTGGTACAAATCTGATCACACTCTCCAGACTTATTAATCCCAAACCGCGAAAATGCTCTCGCTCCTTATTATAAAAAAAAAAATCTTCAAAGTGATCCGGACTTAGATCCAGACCAAATTTGGGGAGGAATGTCCCATACTTCCGATCTTGTGTAAAATTTTCGTATACGTTGGTCTATTGGTTTTCGAGATACGCGCGCAGAAACACAAACATACACACGGGCCCGATTTTAATACCTTCGCCCCCACCCCTTATGGGGCGAGGGTAAATATACAGGTTAACTCCAAATGTCTCAGAAAAATTATCTAGTTTACTATCACTCATTAAAGGAAACAACCTTACATTTCTTTTACTTGAACAAGGGATAATGATTCACGTGAATATTACTAAATAAAGCAAGCTTTTTAAACGTACAATTCCAAAAGTAATAATAATAAATAAATAGAATAATTGAAATTCAATCATTGCAATGAATGGTTGTATTAAATGTTGTTGTTGTTTTTTTATTCAGCACTAAGCTGCACAAAGAGCTAGCTATCTGTGCTCTGCCCACCACGGGTACAGTTTCTAGCAGTACAAGTCCGCAGACATACCGCTGAGCCGCTGTGGGGCTGTATCAAATGAAATATTTAGTGTCTTCTAGCCAATTTCAGATTCACATTTTAGAGTCTACTTTTTTTTTTTTTTGGAAAGATTCACGTACCTCACTTGCATTCCGTAGGTTGACAGTCTCTCCAGTCTCTGCTACTGAACCGATGATTCCCGTTCCCCATGGAACTCGGATTTCGCTGTCATCAGTTGGACTAGGAATGATAACACTTGTACCAAAATGAACATCGAAAATTTTAGACACCAGCATTCGGCGTGTTTTTGGTCCTTCAATAAGAAACAAGGATGCTCCATCAGCGTCAACTAAGACTGAAAGGTTAACGATGATTTTCTGAGTTAAGCTTTTGGCGTCCAGATCATGAGCGATCTCTTGAACGATCTCCAGAAAAAATTGTCTTTCGTTGGAGAAACGTAGTTCCCGTTTTGAATCTCGACACTTTGACGGGACACGCGGGATTCGAACTTTGGATTCTATAAGCAGGTTAAGAATATTGATAGATCTAGAAGGGAGAGACAAAAATCTTCTCATGTCTTTCAGGCTATTTCTTCGTGACTGGGTAGAGGATGAATCATGGGTTTGACCAAGGGTGTCGCACGTACGGAATACGTTCATCTTCCTTGAACGAGCGTAGGTTTGTCGTAAATGTTTCTTAGAATTTGTTTTCTGGTGAACAGTAGCATCAGCCCCATCACTGAAGTACCCACAACATTTCTCTATGGGAGAGGAGTCATCACTGTTGTTGAATACAGCCGAGTTTCGACGTGAGCTCACGTAATCTTTTATAGAGAGAAATCCATGCAGAACCAGCCAACGATTAATAAGACTGATATCAGCTTTCATTAAAAAATAATCCGCCGTCTTTTCCTCATGAGCGTCTAGCCATTCTTTCACATCAGAAAAGGTTAAATGAATGTTGCCTTCTGTACCTGTTGTGCGTAAAGAGGATGCCTCATCCGCCTCTTGGTCTTCATCAGACGCAACCTCAACTCGCCAAGAGGGCATTAAGGACATTGGCCCAGAATTATGTGATCCAGACAAGTTAATAAAATCTTCTCATGTTGGCTTTAGATACACATTGTATGATTTGCAACAATTTGATGCCAGTTCTTTTTCCTTATCTGAAAAACAAAAGAACACACACATATATATATAAATCCTGCCATGTTGGCTTTAGATATACATTGTATGTTTTGCAACCGTTTGATGCCTGTTCTTTTTCCTTATCTGAAACAAAAATTCACACACACACACACACACCTCTGTTAATAACCAAACACAAAATTACAAACACCTTTTAAGAAACTACTTCCATAAACGAAAGAAAAGTATAACTCGTTATTCAAAGTGAGAGATATCAAATATACATTTAAAACGCTGTCATATGAGAAACATCTTATACATCAAACTTAATATCACGAACACAAAAGTTGACTGGCTAAATATAGATGTGTTCTTCGAACTTTTTGACGTGCTGCTGAACGCGATATTTTCAAATTCACCTGTCATTCGGTAATATCTGAGTGTAAGCAAAACCGCGTATAGTTAGATATGTTTTTAACTCAACATCTCTGAGAAATAACGTTCTGTTTTGTTCACGAATTTTTCCAACTCGTCGCAAAGAGAACAAAATATGAATTTTTATTTTTATAATCTGTTTTCTCACGCGTTGACTAAACTTAAGTGTATAAATTAGTTTAGGTTGGGTAGTGTCACTGTACATTTTGGCTTTATAATAATGGTATGTAAGTGTTCATTTAATGCTTATAATACAGAATTACATGGTATGTACTGAATATTTATCATAGGCTTGTTTATTACTTTCCGCAAAATCATACAAATAATTTGAAGAAAAAATAATGAACTTAGAAAGAAAAGAAACCTATAATTCATTGAAAACTAATACTGTTGTTAAGATGAGCCACATAACAATCCAATACGTAATATTACGCAAGGTAGGCTTAGTTTACATTAGGCTTAATATATATGTATTGATAAATACCGTATTCATTTTTGTGACTTTTCTGTATCTTGTTTGTTTGTAATGAAGCACAAAGCTACACAAGGGGATATCTGTGCTCTGCGCACCACTGGTATCAAAACCCGGTTTTTAGCGTTGTAAGTCCGAAGACTTTTCTGTAACAGCAAAGGTTCTAGTTTTTGTTGATTTGGAGTTCGTGTGACTACACTTAATTAAGATGATAATAAAACGTGGGTTAATCTTTATCTAAAAGTTATATTGTATTTGGTTATTATTACGTAGTTGTGCCCTGACGAAGGTTAAATTTCCAAAAACAATTTTATTTTTTTCCAAATCAATGTGACAATCACATCTGCTCCTAAAAGAACTGTTACAGCTAAGTCACAAAATAAAATGTATAGTACATGACCTTAGGGCTAAACTAACTCTCCTAGACTGACCGAACCTTATTGGGTTTACGACCGAAAATGTCGTTGACGGCGAGGATACTCAACTAATGAGACAATTCATTATACCCGTGGTAAGCAGAGCACATATAGCCCTTTGTGTAGTTTTGTACTTAACTGCAAACAACAAAAATAATTCATTATAATCATTATAAGTAAGATAGTGTGAATATTATATTTAATTAGCTATGTTCATTATTGGATATATTTTTAGCTATGATCGTATTTTAGTATTCTGTCTGTCAGTTGTTATCTAAATTTGCAGGGAAAATTGCGTTGCCAATATATATACTACGTTTTTTGTCGAATTGTACAGAGCACTAATACTATTTCCCTCAGGGAAAGAAAACATTATCAAATATTTTTGATATATATCAGCTCTTAATTTTCGTTGATGTCAGAAATAATCAAATACTAATGTATAGTTCAAGGCCATACAATAAGCTATATTACCTATGTCCACCCTAGGGCATTGAACCCTCAGTTTCAGCGCTTAAAGTCCACAAACTTATCTCTAACGTACCAGAAGCTAACTTTAAATTCAACAAAATATATAATCAGATGAGTGATTATCCTCCACAATATATTTAGGACTGTCATACTATTCAAATAAAATATCAACAAGTGTTTGGTTTTGTTTTTTTAGTGCTAGCTTTAAACTATTTAACGAAAGTCTTCTTCGGCCGATGAACATTATTGTTTAACGATCACAGTACAGTTTAAATCTGTGGTGTTGAAATAACTTAGATTAATGCACATTTTAAGTGATAAGAATTAATATAAATATGAATAGATTAATCCAGATGATACGATTACTTCTGTTTAGACTTTACTCTGACCCTTAACTAACTATGACCATAGTCTGTTTAAGTAGGGAAATAACAAGATGATGAAGTATGGTACGTCAAGGGTCTGGTTTTCGAATTGCAATGTATAGATATATCAGTAGAAACTCTCAATGAATGACAGTCTAGGAAGAAGCAAACAACGAGTGTGGAAACGTTTCTGCTATGGTCCTTTTAAAGCTAGATTTGTTTTTTTTTTAATGATAAATGTAAAATCGTCAAATTTAAAAGGATTTTATTTATCGAACCTCTTCATGAACCTTTGAACAGTGTGATGCACACACACGCGCACACACTGCAGTGTAAGTGTAACGATAAATAATATATGAGGATATATATAATTAACAGGAGTACAGCGCTAAAATGATTACACAATAATTATTTTATCAAAAACAGGGGCAGCCCTAAAAAGACTACATGTTTCTGTGTTCTAACGCCACCATTTGAAAAAGTATTAATAATTAAAAAAAGAAAAAAACATACATATATATATATATATAAAGTTACAGCATGTAATATATTTGATAACATTAACTGACAACAGTATCATTATATTTTTGTTTTTTTTTAATTAACTATAAAAATAACTAGGTAAACCATAAATTTAACGACTATTTTTTGAAACAAACTTTAAACATATTTAAAGAGCTCATTTATAATATATTATTGGGTATTGCATTCCAAATTGTTATCCCTACATAAGTTATGGAACATTCACCTATCGATATTATAAAAACATGGTATGTGTAACTCCGCATTAATTCTTGTATCATTACGTTGAATGTTGTTGTTATTCTTAAAATACGTGTGAAGAGAGGATGTATTTATATTCTTATCAGAAACATGAAATTACATACTAGATAATTATTTATTTCCTACATGTTTAATATGTAGTATTTATGAAATCACTGATATACAAAATATCGATAGCTTAAACTCAGTTCTACTCTCGTAAACAATAATGAATTTATATAAAATTCTGATAAATCTTCCCAACAAGTATTTGCATATATTAAATTTGGGTAAATAAAACTGTAGTATAAAGTTATCAAACATTTCCTAACTCATCTTCCTACTTTGTTTATTATACCTATATATATCTTGCTACTATTTTCTCAATGATTCTTATGTGCTCGGACCAGTCAAATTTATCGTGAATTATAATATCCAAAAACTTTGCTTATGAGCATATTTCAAGGAATATTACATTCACGTAAATATTTACTTCTATACTATTAATCTTTTTATTTTTAATGTAAAAAATAAATACACTTAGTATTTTCAAAGGTTTACGAAAAAGTCACTTTCAATACTTCAGCTCATGTAATGACTAATGGACATTTCAATTAAAAACTCTTATTTTAAGCTAAAATTTGAATATTGTTTGCAAATAAAATCGTTTTTATGTCAAACAATAGCATCTAATAAAAATAAAAATGATCCAAAAACAGAGGCCTGAAGAATTCTTGCATTTTATGTCAAACAATAATATATAATAAAAACAACAATGGACCAAGAACAGAGCCCTGAAGAATAATTCTTGCATTTTATGTCAAACAATAACATATAATAAAAACAACAATGGTCCAAGAACAGAGCCCTGAAGAATAAATCGTGCATTTTATGTCAAACAATAACATATAATAAAAACAACAATGGTCCAAGAACAGAGCCCTGAAGAATAATTCGTGCATTTTATGTCAAACAATAACATATAATAAAAACAACAATGGTCCAAGAACAAAGCCCTGAAGAATAATTCTTACATTTTATGCCAAACAATAACATATAATAACAACAACAATGGTCCAAGAACAGAGCCCTGAATAATAATTCTTGCTTTTATTAAATCATCAGAATATTTGTTATCGATATTACCTATTGAGATACTGCTTTTTAAATAACTCTCCAACCTTTTATACGTTTTACTTCTTATTCCCGTAATGTATATTGTTTTAACAATAATTAATGATTCGCACAATAAGCTGCTTTAAATAAGTATAAAATCCTTGTTATGGCAAATTCACTATTTTCCAATCAGTTTAAAACCACTGATAAGCTTATTCGTGAATACGTATCTCTGTTTTGTTTGTTTGTTTGTAGTTAAGCACAAAGCTACACAATAGACTATCTGTGCTGTGCCCACCACGGGTATCGAAACCCGATTTGTATCATTATAAGGTGTTAAAAGAACTTGGTTTTAAAACGAAAATCATGTGATGTGTCATAACCTAGTGTCAAACGTAAGGTGTGAATGAATGAAGGTTATTTGTAAATTATTCGTTCTTGTTTGTTTGTGGTTAAGTACAAAGTTACACAATTGACTATCTGCGCTGTGCCACTACGAGTATCGAAACTAGATTTTTAACGTTATAAGCCTCCAGACTCACTACTGAGTCCCTCGGTGGAACAGCAGTAAGTCTACGGACTTTCAACTATAAACACCGGGGCTCGATTCCACACCGTGGACCCAGCAGATAGCCTAATGTGGCTTTGCTTTAAAAACAAACTTGCTACTGAGGTACATTCTTCAGGCTAAATGAGGTTTCGAATATTTATATTTTATTAGTTCCTTTGGTCTCCTGTATTGTTATTTCAAACAAGTCAATATTTCGTTGCATGCTTTCGTCAAGTTCACAACAGCCTTCAATTACAAGTTTCAATAAAAAACTTCGGAATATTTCAATCATTATTCAAATAAGTTAATAACAATTTGAAATATATCTCTGGTAAGCATAATACAATCCTTAATTATAAGCTCAGTAAATATTTACCTGTATTCATGTATTTACTTATTAATCTTGCAACAATATTTCCCGAGGGCTGTTTTGAAGTTTGGTTTTATTAGT